TGAAATTTTGAGCAGCCCTGGCTCACACTACCTATTGATTCATCATCAATACAGCTCTCTGTAATACTATAACATTTTGAGCAACCCTTGCTCATAACAACTTGTAATACATTTTCATTGCAGATCTCTGCAGTAACATCAAAACCTGAGCACACCTGGCTCACATTATCAACTAATTCATAGTCATTACCAGTACATATCTCTGTAAAAATATCAACATTTGAGCAACCTTTGCTCACATTATACAGTGACTCATTTACATCACAATAATTACCGGTATCAACAACAATTTTCTCTCCTTCCCCCACCTCAGGGATTACACTCACCTCATCAACTTCACGCAAAAAATCAACTTCAGGACTTACATTATCTGATGGCTCACCATGAGATACAACAAAAATCATGTCCTCAGACATTAGAACAGGGTTCTCTTTGCTTTCAATACAGCCCGTTTCCATAACCACCAGTTTATTACAACAATCCCCTACATACGTCCACCTAAGGTCATTTCCAATGACTTCTACCTTATTAAATTGTCGTCCCCTTTCTTCTTTACATTGGACTTCCTGGGATACACCAACTACTTCAACCTCGTTTTGACATGAATCTAAAGCTATATCTGTACCCTTTGCCACTGGGGGTATGTCAACACGGTCAACGTTGTCCCTTTTAACGTTAGCCGACGGATCAATTAACAAATCACTGTTATTTCCATTTAAAAAAATTGAGTCGCCAGCAGAGGCAATAATATCATTTTGTTCCTCAGTATCCTTAGCCATGAACCGTGGTTGCGAGGCCGGCTCTTGCCTGGGGTCAGGATCATGAGTATGTCCACCGTTATCCACACATTTGTTTTCACTTACATTAATAGAAACTCTATTAAAATTTTTATAGGGATTCTCACAGTGAATGCTGGCAATGCCATAATATATTTCCTCCCCTTGACTCTCGTCATCGTCACTGTCGCTATAATAATATGCCTGTCTCTTAAAAATAATTTCCCGTCGTTCTGCCTTAAATTTTGCCAGTCTAGTTTCTCTATCAAGTTTATCTAGTTCAAATTGTCTCTGACTCTGTTTATCTCTATCTATACGTTCTTTCTGTCTGGCTCTGAGTTCTTCCCTTCTCTGTCTATCTATACGTTCATTCTCTCTCTGTCTATATATACGTTCTTTCTCTCTCTGTCTATATATACGTTCTTCCTCTCTCTGTCTATATATACGTTCATTCTCTCTCTGTCTATATATACGTTCTTCCTCTCTCTGTCTACTTATACGTTCTTCCTCCCTCTGTCTATCTATACGTTCTTCCTCTCTAGCTCTAAGTTCTTGTTCTTCAAACTTAACTCTTATATACTCCTCTAGGTTCTCTCCCGTATAAAGAAGTAACACACCCACATGGCTGATTTCTTCTAAACTCCATTTCCCACTGACATATCCAGCCATAGCAATGCAAATTAAGGGTGATCATACAGTAAACAAGAATTAGGTTTACGGACCAATCGCAGTCTGTTTAAACTAACTCTAGCAAAAATCTTAATTCTACCCAGGTAAAAAAAAATTTTCATAAGTCATAAGAAAATTAATGCCAAAAATGTTTTAAACAATAAAAATCCAACTTGCCTGGTTCGTTGAAAGTCCTATAGAATTTAAATATTATTCAAAACACACACTGGGCTTAATTAAGTGTCAATGGTTCTTTACTGTCAATAGTTCTCTCACAAACTTCAATTGTCCTATATGGCGATCTTGGGACACAGTCATTGAGGTGTGGGTGACCGGGACGGGTCACGGGACATCGGCAGCTCACTGGACAGAATGTAGGCGAATCGCCGACACTGGACAGTTCGTGTGTAACTCGCCAATACAGGATCGGGCATGTGCAGCTTGATGCAGGACGGGACGTTGGTGGCTCGTTGAAACAGGACAGGGCGTTGTTAAACTGAGTGACCGGACAGGCCACAGGACTTCACAGCTCACTGGACACGAAGTTGGTAGCTCACTACCGACAGGACGTAGATAACTCGATATAGGGAAATGCGTAGTTAATTCACTGGAACTCAACTGGACGTTGGCGACTTGACGAAGGTCAGGGCTGGGTATTTCACTGGAACTGAACACGAAGTTGGTAGCTCACTACCGAAGGAACGTAGATAACTCGATACGTGGAGGGGCGTAGTTAACTCACTGGGACTGAACAGGACGTTGGCAACTTGATAACGGGCAGGGCGTAGTTAATTTGCTGTAACTGGACACGACATTGGTAACTTCATACAGGGCAGGACGTAGTTTTTTCACTGGAACTGAACAGGACGTTGGCAACTTTATAACGGGCAGGGCGTAGTTAATTCGCTGTAACTGGACACGACGTTGGTAACTTCATACATAGCAGGACGTAATTATTTCACTGGAACTGAACAGTACGTTAGCAACTTGATAACGGGCAGGGCTTAGTTAATTTGCTATAACTGGGCACGACATTGGTAAATTCATACAGGACAGGACGTAGTCATTTCACTGGAACT